TGTATCTTCACCTGGTGTCTGCGGTCTGTCCATTTATGTTTTCTTCGTAGAGTATCGTTTTGATCCCTATTTTTCTTTTTACGTGATAAATTATTGGGATATTGTTTTGCACTCTGATCGTCATTCAATCTGATTGTAATTGTTCGAGATTTGTGATAGTGAGATTGGGCTCGAGGCGACACAACTGGTCGCCGAACGTAGCCACGGTCACGGGATGGACGTTTTGCCTGACGGACGTGTAACCTCTTCTTCTCCGAATGACCACGTATTCGCCGTGTACGGACGTACGCACACGCGACACGTGTCGGAGCGGAGAGCGTTAAAGCGTCGCGACGTACGATTCCGGTCGGCCCGAAACCGGCGCCCTTCGCGCAGTTTCTCACGCTCCACGGCTTTGATCCTCGTAAAGCGTCAACGGCACGTTGATAATTTAATCGGACGCATCGCAACTCGCCGCGACCGCGTATACATTTACGCACGCACCTGTTGTGGCATTCACGGCCGGCGAGAATTACTTTCCGCACCAGATACGAAGCGAGATCGATCGCGGTTTCCTGCTCTCTTTCCCCTCTGTTTCAACGTTGCGACGCACCGAGAAACGAAATCGAGCCGCTCTAACGCAAGTGCAAGGACGACGATGATCGTCGATCTATCGATCGAGCGCCACGTTAGTGTCACGTAAGCTTAAGGGTTGCTTGATGAAATAAAATAGCCGAGTCGTAACGCAATTATTAATTTTGTTTCGATTCGAAGATGGTTGTTTCGTCACAGATCGTATCGTGGCGGCACTCGGCGACGATGTTGTAACGTCAATTCACATCAGAGAGGAAATAGCAAAATATAGCGACAGATATAGCAAAAGAGTCAAGAAACACCGAAACCCCCTAATCACTGGACTACTCGATACGACGGACCAAATTCGCAGGCTGAAGAGGCACTACCCGCTAGACCTAAACTAGATCTTCAATTAGTTATCTAAATTAAGTAATATTCACTTATTTATAACACTTATAAATTATACTTATCTATAATAAGTATCAACTTATTATAAATAATCAGCCATGTCACTGCGCCACGCCAAAAAATTACTGAAAATTCTCAACGCGAGAATTGATCGTAATTTTAATAAATAAATAAAAAAAAAATTTACATCAGAGACCAGGCCACACACCGCGGACAGGATGGCACCCAGATATCTGCACATTCTTGGTGCGCACCCTCAATAATAGTCTTAAGTACCCACCAGGGGTCTTGGCATTTTCATAGTTAAGGTCCTTTAGACCAAGCGAGTATTTCCTGTCTTAGATTTCCCTTCACGTTTATTGTCTACCACGTGTCAGCTTAGAAAGTTGGTTTTCTTCGCATCTGATATGTTCCGTTAGCAACTTTCTCGCGAGGGCGGCTAAAACCCTTCCTTGGTCCACCAACCGTCTTATTATCCAATCGGAGACGGTGTCTACTGCCCTCGCTTCCTTAACCAAAATCGTCATCGACAAATTCGATAGTCCCGTGTCCTTAGACACACCCACCCCTAGCCTTCCTCGGACACGGTATCGCCAGAAACACTCGCTTATTCTGTATCCTGAGAATAATCAACGTATCTATATCGGTCTCTACCCTTATAACAGTCGCGTACTCAACGTATCGTTGTAACTAAGTCTTACGTAACGTGGTTGGAGTGGATTGTGATTTATGTTAATTCAATGTGCGTTACATTGTGATTGTCGAATTCGTAATAAAGTTTAATCGAAACAAAGTTAATAGTTGTGTTACGACTCAGCTATTTTATTTCATCAATCAACCCTTAAATTTACCTGACATATACGCCGAAACAAAGTGCCTAATCTTTTTTTCTTTTATTCAGAAGAATTGTACGATCGATTCTCGTTGAGAATTATAAGTAAATTATTCTGGCGTGGTACTATATCACGTATAATAGGCGTTTATCGCGTAGCGATACTCGACAGCAAACTTTCCAACGGTTTCTGTCCCGTGGCTCGCTACGCGAAGACCCTATCCTTCGGACAAGACGATTGCCAGATGCCGATACATTCTTACGGAATATTTTCAGCTAGCCTAAGGACCCGCTATAAATCTCAGGATTTATTTGCCAACGAAGAAAAGAATCTGTTTGATTTCGAACCGAAAGATTCGTTCTGCCCCGAGCTGCGAAGTGCGGAAGGTTAAGCGAAGCAGAAACGATTAGAGAAACGCGTTAGTGACTCTTGATAGTTCAGCGTTAATCGTTATTTGTTATTTAATCGTTGTATTTTCGATGTATCGCGGGGAGACGCGATCGCGAGGAAGCGCGTCAACGGGAGTCGTAAATTCCCGTTACGATTATAAGAATCGACGCCACGAACAGATCGATCCCCTTATTTCTTGTGGGATAATAGGGATAATTGACGTGGTATAAAATTGCTATTAACAGGGTTATAAAATTTATATTTCCAACACTTAATACGTCAAAGCGTTACGTCGCGTGAAATGGTCCGTGCGACGTTCTTCAGTGTCTGACCGTCAAGGCCCAAGCCCTATTCTTTTTTTTCTTTTTTTTATTTATTTATTTAAATTTTACAATTTGTCCAGTAGGACATTTGGTAAAATATTATAGCGGTATACCGATATAACATGTGGGTGGCTACCTCCAGCGGGGTACCATCGTCGTGTTTCTTAGGTTATGTCCTTTGTGAGATCCGTTGGGTGTTTCCTTTTTAATCTTCTTTTTACGTTCGATGCGCCGACCGTTTCCGCTGCCAGCCGGTTTCGGTGCGTTGCTGTTCTTTCTCTGTACCTTCTTCCGTACATCTGTCAATCTCCTTAAATAGCAAAGTATAGCGACAGATATAGCAAAAGAGTCAAGAAACACCGAAACCCCCTAATCGCTGGACCACTTGATACGACGGACCAGATTCGCAGGCTGAAGAGGCACTATCCGCTAAACCTAAACGCTAGATTCGATTAGTTATCTAAATTAAGTAATATTCACTTATTTATGACACTTATAAATTGTACTTATCTATAATAAGTATCAACTTATTATAAATAATCAGCCATGTCACCGCGCCACGCCAGAAAAATTATTGAAAATTCCCAACGCGAGAATTGATCGTAATTTTAATAAATAAATAAAAAAAAAATCTCCTTGACCGTTGGTATTCCCAGGTCTTTCCGAATGTCCTCGTTTCTAACGTACCATCGCGCGTTTACTATTGTTCCGAGTATTTTAGATCGCATTGTCCCTGTTTTGGTTATATGGCTCATTGCTGCTGTTCCCCATAGTGGTATTCCGTACGTCTAGATTGGTTTCATGACCATTTTATATATTTTTAGTTCGTTTTCTATACTTACTTTGGATTTTCCACTTGTTAGCCGGTACATTTGTCTCCTTGCCATCTGTATTTTGTCTATTGTTGCTTTAATTGTTGCTGTTTACATGTGAATCGTGTATCTAAGTGTCCTCGTGAGGTGTCGACGAAGACGAGACGCGCCGAAGCCAATTTTCGCCCTCGGAGTTGGGCCCCTTTGGGGCACTGGATGATCGAAGCACACGAGGCAAGTCTCCCTTGAATATCGATAAGGAGAGACAGCGTCAGGTCCAATGGACCCCACTAACGCCAATTCGATAGTCAGAAAGTATTAGGACTGGCTAGAACAAGAGAACGCCGGAAGGGGTGCAACTGAAGTTAATTCGTAAGAGATTCCTGGAGCACCCCTGTCATACGCGTTGGATGGTCATCGTGGAGTTTCAGTCGCTAGGAGTCCGACACTGCTCCGCTGTTACGCGATTATTGCGACAGCGGAGTGTCCATGAGGATTTTTCCACGTAAAAAAAAAAAAGAAACAAAAGGTAGAAAATACCAGATTACCGAAACACGGAAACCACAAAACGCGCGATAACTTCTCCGATAATGATCATTCGTATCTCGATAATCGGAAATCGATCATCGTTAATTGAGACACGTCGAAAAAGCTTTACGGTCATCTAAATTTCATGGCAACGCGTATCGTTAATGTCATATTTTTGTTATACGTTGATATACGTTCGTTTACGTTGATTACATCTAACCAAAGTGTATTAGCCGTATGAATAAATAAATAAATAAATGAATAACTAATAATCGGTGTCATTGCTGCTACAGATACAGAGGACAGATTGACGGACGTCGCTTTGACAATATCTTTTCGCATATTCGGCCGATTCTGCGTGGGAATTTGTTCGCTTGAGAATCGCAGAAATCGAGAGACTCGAAACGGGAACATAAATAGAACGAATGACAGTCGATAGAAGAATTTCTCTTCCTTTTTTCCTTTTTTTTTTTGGAAGATTTTTACGATCAATTCTCATTGAGAATTCTAAGTAAATTATTCTGGCGTGGTGCTACGTCGTGTTTAATAAGCGTTCATCGTACGTTTGATTCTAGTTGCGCGGAACGACGTAGCGATCTCTTCTTCCGCTGCTTCTCCGATACGACGCCTACGGTGAATGTGAAGCGTCGATATTTCTGCCACTCGAGTTACGAAAAGCTGCGAAACCAACGACGCCGTTAACGGCTGATACAGGCTCGGGGGAGCAACTAAACGGCGAGTCGTATATTTGCAGGTTCACGCAGCTCGCTACTCGTAAAGATCCACTGTAAGCTGTATGAAAATCTGTTTTTTTACGGTTTTAGCACAACCAGGCGGAAAAATACGTGCATAGATGAAACACTTTCCGGACAGATGGTGACGCGATGCTACGATAAAGCAGGCTAATTTTTCGCACGCTGAAACTCGCTTTCGAAACGTTTGAAATCGCTGGGTGGGTGGTGGAAAGTCGATTCGATGGGCCGTGACGACTCGTCGACGAATGACGATGGCTCGGGACGAGGACAGGAGGCGCGAAGGGTCGCGCGTAACGGATAATGGATTTCGGCGGCGCGTGCGACGGTTCGGCGCGTGCGTTCTCCAGGAGCGTTTCACCCCCCGGTCCGTGCACTCGACGCGCTTACACCCTATATATTTCGAGGAAAGACGAGATGAACCGGTACACGGCACGCGATTTTTGCGCAAGAAACACTCGCGGACTCGCATCGCAACTTCGACTATCATCGACAGTACCACGTTCGCACCTCCGATAGAAGCCACCGCGGTGCCAAATCGACAATGACGCGCCACTGTTCTTTCGTTCTCTCGATTCTGGCTCTCTCGATCGCCGGTTGCGTGTTGGCCGTCCAGGTAACTTCTTTCTTACTATTTTCTCTCTCTCTCTCTATCTTTCTCTCTTTGGCTTGTCATTTCGTCGATGTAACGTCGTTCCTCCGGTTCGAAGAAGCTAGGCGAGTCGGAGTTTCGATCGTTCGCGGAATTTCGAGTCACGCGATCGGAAACAGCGATGTTGACGATAGCTCGCGCCACTTTCCGTCGCATCGTTCGCTACTGGATCGTAAAACGAATCGCGCACCAACGAATCGACGAAATCGGTACGCAAGCGTCGTTGAGCGTCCAGCATTCCGCGAGATAGTCACGGACCAACGAAACGTAAATTCAACGAAGAAAAGTTTCGCGAATACGTGGAACGCAACGATCGTCGTTGCGTCGGCCGGGAAGGCAACGGGGAAAAACTAGCGGCGGTTTTTCCGTTGATTCGACGATGCGTCGTACGGCCAAAGAAGGGCGTAGAGTAGACGGCCACGTTCGTGGCGAACGGTGCGGGAAATCACGCGGGAAATCTCGCGGAAGATCTCGCGGTAGGAGAAACTTTCTCGGGGATCGATCTCCGGATACGTCGCGTGACCGTAAATCGAGCGGATGATCGCGTGAGGAGCGTTCGCGACCAACGAGGCACGATTTCAACGTAATCGAACGACGCGTTGCTTGCAGGCTGAAACGAGCTCCCTGCGAAGAGAGTTTTACGGGCCGAGCAAACCGGAATTCCTCGTCGAGTACCTGGAAGGTCACGGTAAGTGAAAAAAGACTGGTTCCACGTATCTCGTACGCTTGTTTCTCGTATACGCTTCTGCCTGGTCCGCGGAGGAAACCAAGAAATTTCTCTGCCGCTTCGTGTGCCGTCGTATCCGCCGTGATTTCTACGCTCGACCGATGGCGAAAAGACGCGCTTTCGCGTGATCTGGGTGCTGGTGGCGGAGGTTGGTGCGTCACGGTGAAGGGAACGAGGTTCGACGAACGATCTCTTACCTGCGATCGACGATCGACGGATTTCAGGTTCGCCGCAGGAGAATGCGGCGCAGGACGAACGATATCGGTCGGTTCGACCGAGCAACGTCGAACGCCGGTTGTTTAGCAGGGGATCGATCCTTCCAGGAAAAGGTCGGTGGTACGTGCACGAAGGAAAGGCCGAAGACGATCGATTCTCGCGGAACCTGGATCAGATCGGTGGCGGCAACCTGTTGCGCAGGGGACTGGTGGTCGAGCGAGAGGGCTCGTACGACAGCTCCCGTCGCTGGTTGCCATCGCGGAGAAATCTCGATCAAATAGGAGGCGGAAATTTGCTTCGAGAGGCGGACTATCGCGGCGAACGCAACTTGGACAGCATCGGTGGAGGGAATCTCGTTCGCGGGCTGGGCGGCACGGCCGATCATCTTCGTAGGAATTTGGATCAGATCGGCGGAGGAAATTTGGTGCGCGATGTGCCCGACGACGGGTCTCGAGAGCCGGCCGAGACTCGGTAGAAACGACCCGAGTAGCACGCCGTCGCGCGGAGACGCGTGAACGGAGCACCTCGGTAACGCG